ACATGATGATGGTAAGACAGAGTGATTCTCACAAAATAACCCTTTTAGATAAGAGTGAACAAAAGTCCTTTCTAACCGAAAGTCTCTCATTTAGCATTTTCAAGATGATTCATGTTATGAGTGGAAATTGTCTTAAATGATAATTATCCCCGGTGGAAGGTTGGCGATGCGGACATGTTAAAATCGTTACACATGAACTCCAATGGTACTGATCTTGAAGCATGTGTTTTAGAGAGTGCCGGTCGTCTATTTCCGAGATGAATACATGTACCTGTTATTACTAATCCTGTAAGACAGGTGACGTTTCCTCCAACACCAACCTTCAGGCTGATCCCGGAAATGCTAAGACACATCCAAGCATTCATGAATTCCCAAGACCCTGCTGGCAAGGACACAATAGGTGATCTATCAAACCCTCGGACAAGGACTCCTAATTGTCTGGGTCTTTTCAAGCCCCGCTGACAGAGAGCCTTTAGACAATCCGATCTGACCTGCAGGTATGTACACCTAGGTACGTTTTTCCAAAAGGTTTGTGGTCCAACCTTAAACCACGCTTTTCAAAAGGTTTGTGGTCCAACCTTAAACCACGCTTTCCAAAAGGTTTGTGGTCCAACCTTAAACCACGTTTTTCCAAAAGGTTTGTGGTCCAACCTTAAACCACGCTTCCAAAGGTTTGTGGTCCAACCTTAAATCACGTTTTTCCAAAAGGTTTGTGGTCCAACCTTAAACCACGCTTTCCAAAAGGTTTGTGGTTCAACCTTAAACCACGTTTTTCCAAGAGGTTTGTGATCCAACCTTAAACCACGCTTCCAAAGGTTTGTGGTCCAACCTTAAACCACTCTTTCCAAAAGGTTTGTGGTCCAGCCTTAAACCACGCTTCCAAAGGTTTGTGGTCCAACTTTAAACCACGCTTCCAAAGGTTTGTGGTTCAACCTTAAACCACGTTTTTCCAAGAGGTTTGTGGTCCAACCTTAAACCACGCTTCCAAAGGTTTGTGGTCCAACCTTAAACCACTCTTTCCAAAAGGTTTGTGGTCCAGCCTTAAACCACGCTTCCAAAAGATTTGTGGTCCAACCTTAAACCACATTTTTCTTTAAACTATGATCTTCGTTTATTTAGATTTTATTTTATTTTCTCCTCTTCCTTGCATTGCATCATCCCGTGCCCTCTGTCAACAAAATTTAGGCATATCTTATCTTTGAAAGGAACCTCTTCGAGCTCCCCTTCAAAGAGGGGCAGCTGTTGACACCTAAATTTTACCCAAATCATTTAGGGCTTTATCGCATAAAAATTAGGGTTTAATCTTTAACCCCTAAGCCAAAAATACTTTTATTAAATTCCATGGCATATAGACATTAGGCACATTTGCATTAATAGGGCCTATTAGGGCACAAAATTTTATAAATAAAAAAAAAAGAAAGAAGATTTCCGGGCCGGGTTCGTCGGCCCATTCGTTTTTCCTCTCCCTTTTATTTTTTTGCGCGGCCCATTTTTTTTCCTCCCCTTTTATTTTTCTACGCGGGCCGGCCCTCTTTCTCTCGGCCCAGCCCGCGTCTGTCCATCTCCCCCCCAGTCAACCTTCTGAAGCGTACGGGGGAGAAGACCGGAACAGTGCAGAGGCAGAAGAACAGAGAAGCCAGAGGCGGAGCAGGGGCGCGGGAGGAGTCCAGGCGATCACCCGGCGTGATCCGCGGGTCGGGGCCAGGCCGGCAGTGCGGGCTGGCGGTGGCAGGGGCCATGCGCGCCTGCCGGCCGGCTCCGCACCCCGTTCGCCCTTAAAGCCGAGAGAGAGAGAGAAATCGAGGGGGACCGGAGAGAGGGAGAGCCGAGAGAGAGAGAGAGAGAGCTAGCAAGAGAGAGAGTCCGGAGTGCGAGATCGAAGGCGAACGGTCCCCGGTCGGTGACCGTCGCGCCTCAGCCGCGACCGACGAGTCCCCTTTCACGGTAGGTCCGGTCCCGAGCACTCGCCGGGTTCGTTTTGGTTTGGTTCGATTCGGGGTTGGTCTCCCGAGGACCCCGGCTCGTGGGTGTGCAAGGCGCGCGGGCGTAGCCCGATCTACAGCGGTCGCCTTCCATTCGCCACCGCCGAGTCGGGTAGGGACTGTGGCCGCCGCCCCGGTTTTTTCCTTTGTACTCTGTTTTTCTGGGGGGTCACTGGCCGGAGCTCGCGGCCGTTCGGCTTGCGCGAGTCCCGGCCGGTGACACCTCGGGCTCGGTCCTGCTTCCCTGGGTTTGTTGTGTGTGAATTTCGGATGCGTTGGAGCCCCGATTGTGCCGGAAATCCCTCGTTTTTGTGACGCACGCCAACTGTTCGACGTTTTGCCCGAGCCAAACTTCTTGGGTTTTTCTCTGTTCTGCTGCTCCGTTGGGAAGGTCAGACGGTCTCGGAGTACCGCCGATGGCCGTGGCGGTCCGGGCGTGACCGTGGGTAGACGTGCAGAGCCGGTCCTTGCCGGATCTCGCTAGTCCGCGGATCGTTCAGCCTCTCGCCGAGGCTTGGATGCAAATCCGGACGGTCGCTGGCCGTCGCGACGGTGACGCGGCTGGTCGGCCTCGGCTACGCCGGACTAGTGACCCTGGCCATGGAGGTCCGGGGCTCTGGAGCTTGGTGTCCACGCCGGCGGCGTGAGTGCGGTGGTCGGACGTGCGCTCCACGTCAGAGCAGTGGCCGGTGTGTAGGCGAGTCCCGGGGCGCGGGGTGGCGGCCGTGAGTCGGGTCGCGAACCGGGTCGGACGCGTGGGCGAATCGGGTAGGGTTTTGGTGATTCGGGTTCGTGGGTCGAAACCGGGTTGGTTTGTGATAGGACGTGGGCTTTTGTCTTGCTTGGTCTTTTTTAGTGGGCCTTGGGCTTTTATGGTTTGTTTTTTTTATGAAAAATTTCGGGCTGGGCCCTTTTTCTTGCCTTTAATTTGCCAGACCGGGTTCAATAAATGAACCCGGTCCGATCGTGGACCCGGGCCGGCGCGCCCGGGTCAGTCCCGATCCGGGTCGGATGTGGAGATCCGACCCGGATCCGTTTAATATTATTTTATTGTTTTAATATGAAAAAAATTAATTTTTTTTTAAAAAAATCAATTATTTTTTTTAAAAAAAAAATTGCAGAAAATATATTTTATCCGGGTCGGATGTGGAGATCCGACCCGGTCTGTTTTATATTATTTTTCGTTATTTTAATATTAATTTTTATTTATTTATTTTTTTTTAAAAAAAAATTAAAAAATTTCGAAAATTAAAAAATGTTACTTAGGCCTTGGAATTGGCTTTTCTTGCCCTTTTTGCATGACTAGTGTCTTTTTTTATTGCATGTTGATCGATTCATACACTTTGAATTGTGCATTTAACGTAACTTCGCATGGGGTCGATTACGCGTTTTAGGTTTAGATGTTAATTGTTGCTTCCCTTAGCTCAATTAGGAACGGAATTTTGAGACTCCTAATTAGTGTGAACACGTTAGGTGGTGAATTGAACAAGTTTAGGTACCGAAAGGGCACTAATTGGTCAATTAGTGTAATCAAGTCCCCGTACCCATTGAATCCCTGGTTCATAGAAGTAAAGCATTTCTCCCGTGTTCTACTTGGGTGTCTAATCGACCCACCAAAAATCGATTAGTGGCGACTCCTAAATGAAATTGATTTGCATGTTAACAATTTAAACTTAAGTCGCGAATTGATATGGGCTTGGGAGAGCTCGAGCTAGATCTAACCTAGTAATCCATTAGCCAAACCCCTTTAGGCGGCGGGGCCGGTTCGGGGAGGTCGCGACAGTAGCATATAGGCTGGTTGTAGCATATAGGCTGGTCGGCATCCACGTCAACAATATGCTGCCAAAATTAGCCGGAATAACTGAATTGACACTAGGTCAAAAGATTTAGGACTAAATGGGCACCATTAAAAGGTTTGGAACTAAATTGGTACAAATACAATAAGTTTATGACTTTTATAACCCTACTCCCAACTTGCTTAATATAAGAGTTTGGACATTGTGATGGACATACACCGTATGCTTAAATTGTGTCACTTAAATGAAATTGTGCCTCTTTTTTTTTTTCTCAACATGATCAAATTGGGAGCTCACTTTTCCTTTTGTTCTTAATTTTCTTGTTCTATTTGGCTACCATGATAATGTTCGTGTGGCTGCGGATCTGCTCTTTACTTACTATTGGGGAAAATAAAAAAAGAAAACCCAACAATTACCACATCTCTTTTCAAACTTGAAACCCTAACACCACTTGGCTTATAAGGAATTGAAGACTCCTGCATTGAGATCTATGGCAGGTCAACTTGGAGCACACACAAAACCAAGGTTTAATCTTGGATGACGAATTGTCCAGACAGCCTTATGTTACGGGCTGATGGTTGACATTGTGAGATACTTTAGACATCAACCTCCGTTGCTAAGTCTAAGTTAAGTAGGAGTTCTCGTTACTTATATTGCTCAATGTTTAGACGATACAGATAGCAGAAGGGCACCCCTCTATATACATGAGAGTGAGACCCTCTAATATCGCTTTAGATTATTTTTTTTAATATAACGGTGGATATTCAGTTTCTCTACTTAATACCAATCTGTATTTAATTAGGAAGACTCTAGAACACAAATTTGCACAATTCCAAAACTACTCTTAAAAAGATTCTAGAGAGGCAGAAGACTACACAAAAATGGAGGAAAGTTATCAAAAAAATCCTAAAAGCACTTATGCCAATCAATTTGGCCAATTTAGTCATAAACCTTTTGAAAATTTGCCAATGTGGTCCATATGGCCAATTTGAGTAGGAAATCACTAACATAGACACCGGGCGTTTTACGTGGCACAGTTGACGTTGATATAGACAATTTTTGCAATTTTTTATCAAATTTTCTGAATTTTTTTTATATTTTATTTCCTTTTTCTTTTCTTTTATTTTCTTTACTACTTACAGGTTATATATAAATTAAAGATGCATGCATCACATTGTTCGAACATCGCGTGTCAAAAGCTATTTCCTCGATGGATAGTGGATATACAAAGTGTGGCTTTATTTTTACTTTAAAAACATTTATTATTGCGACATATAAACGTCATTACATAGATGACGTAGATAAGAGTTTAATAGACCATAAGAAGATAGGTAAATGCATAGTTTCCCTCGTTCTATGCAAGTAAGATTATAGAAAGAAGCCATACCAGCAAGCACCGGTGCAGATGGTGAAACCCACATAATAGCTCATTCATAAAGCCGAGGATCAGAGAACCTCGGTGAAGGAATAGCCACCAGAGGCTTTTTCTTCTTCAGGACGATCCCAAACTGCTCCGTCAGGTCCATCTTCTCTCCCTCGGGCAGCTTCCAGTCGAAGGAATGGAAGAGGGTGGCGAGCGAGTACAACACCGTCCTCTCGGCCATCGCGATCCCCGCGCATATTCTTCTCCCAGCCCCGAAGGGCATGTAACTAAAGTCGTTCCCACCGTAATCGCCTTTACCATGCAAAAACCTCTCGGGATCGAACTCCAGGGGGTTGCTCCATATGGAAGGGTCCCTGTGTATCGCCCACACGTTGATGAAAACCCGAGAGCCCTTCGGGACCGTGTAGCCTCCGATGGTGCAGTCCGCGCTCGGGCAGTGCGGGACCAGCAGGGGAGCTGCCGGGTGCAATCTCAGCGTCTCTTTCATGACAGCAAGTAAGTAAGGCAGTTTACGGATGTGCGATTCTTCTACTATGTTGTCTTTGCCGACCACAGCTTCCAATTCTTGCTGGATTTTTCTCAGAACGCTAGGCTTGTTCATGATCTCAGCCATGGCAAACTCAATTGTATTGGACGATGTGTCTGTTCCACCGATTACCATGTCCTGTCAAAAGAATTCAATCGCGTGTAAATTTCAACGGACCGTCCTCAAGAGAAAGTGAAGTCACGTAGAAGAATTTGTAAAAGCAAGCAAGCAAGATTAGGATTGAAAAGCTAATTTTGTAAGTGTAAAAAGCTACGCCTTTCGTTTGTTCTTTCAGTTGTTATTTGTTGAACTAGACTTTTGGAAAATAGAAATGGAGTCTAAACCCATCAAATTGTCTTTTATAAACGTTAGCAGTGAAATCACACTCCCAAATTCTAGCTTTAGTGCCATTTTGCACTCATAACAATTAAACAAACTTGCCAGGATGGAGAGTTCGCACTCATAACAATTAAACAAACTTGCTAGGATTGAGAGTTTTCAATATTCAATGATATGACACCGAAGACGCAACGAAGAAAAACTGATGAGGGGTGGACAGAGATGGCAACTTGTGTCATTCCACGTTCTCATGTTCGTGTCGTTTCATGCGGTTGAAAATTTAACTTTGATCCAACTCAACGGAAAAACTGACATATGTTCAACACGATTTAATGACTGAACAGATTGCATAATGGATGATATGAAACTACAGCCAAAAAAGAGTAAAATTAAACCCCTTGTTTGTACGTGTCTTAGGTCAAGTGCATTTAATTTGTAATGTAAATTTTCATTCAAACTCTCTCTCTCTCTCTCTCTCTCCGCAAAGCCTATCTAAGGAACGATCTACTACTCGGGACTGCTTTGGTTGTTTGTTTGTAAACAATAACAATTAAACAATACTTTGTTAGGTTTGCAGAGTCCTTTCGTAATAGTTCAATGATATGACACCGAAGACGCAACGATAGAAAAACTGATGAGGGGTTGGCAAGAAAGAAAAGGCAGATCAATTGGTCATTCCACGTCTCATGTTCGTGAACGTTTCATGCGGTTGAAAATTTTACTTTGATTCCAGACTCAACGGAGAAATACTGACATATGTTCAACACGATTCTAATTTCTGAGACAGATTGCATAATGGATGATATGAAACTTTTGCCAAAAAGAGTAAAATTAAACCCCTTGTTTGTAGTGTCAAAGGTCAAGTGCATCCTTAATTTGTAATGTAAATTTTCATTCAAATCTCCCATCTCACGCTCTCACAGTCTCTACTCTCTCTCTCTCTCTCTTTTTCTCTCTCTCTCTCTCTCTCTCTCCGCAAAGCCTATCTAAGGAACGATCTACTACTCGGGGACTGTCAAATTAATACAATTCTTTTTCACGTAATTTCTCGATGGAAAATTCTCTTATTGCAATTATCAGTGCACTAACATGGTAGATCACAAACAGCTGATTAAAAAGTGATGTCTACGTGCGACTGTGCGAGTGGTATCCAAAGACACAAGGTACAAACATCCTGACACCTTTTGCAAACTACAAAAAAACCGCTGCCTAAATCTAGGCTTTTATGTAACTGACAGATAAGGAGTTTATATATTCGTCTTCCGACAATGAAAGCACTGGGATTGTGCTTTCTCTCTTCTTTCTTTTGTTTACCTTAATGAAGATATTAATGAATTTTTAATCTAATCTACTCATAAGATGGACAGAAGAAAATATCATATAGCGCTCTTCCTTCTTTCTATATAATTTAGGGGCACGATCACAAATGCTTGGCTACAAAGCGATTTTCATGTGATCACAAAGTCTCACGAACTGATCAAGTTCAGGCCTTGGCTTGTGCATGTGATCTTGACCCAAAGCGATTTTCATGCTATTGGTGGGATTTAAATAGGCAACCTTCAATTCCTGAACTGGGAATTTCTCGACACCCCAACCAACTACGCCAGCCTTAAGAAAGTTAGAGTTGGATTTAAACAAACCACTCATTGTGATCGGTGCATAATCTCTCTTATATTAATGTTACTCTACTAATTAAGTACGTTCAACATGTATGCTAGTTAGAAAAACAAAAGAATAAAGTATAAAGAAGTAAGCTTTTGCCAATAATATAAGGAGGAGAAGAAGAAAAACTCACCATGAGCAGAGCTTTGAGGCCAGTCATTGTTAGAGGAGTCTTGGCATCTTCTTCATCCTTCAACTCCAATAGAAACTGCAAGAAATCTTTGCTCTTCTCACCACCGTCCAAGGACCCGTTTCCGCCTTCTCTCTCCATCTTCAATCTCTTCTCAATCATCTGCTCAAAAATTACATCGAACCGTTTTGCCAATACCTTCATCCGCCTCTCTATCCCTTGCAAATCGAATCGGGCCAGACCCGGATAAAAGTCCGAAATGTTCGGTTTCCCAAGAAGATCCGTGAAATTTGACACCACCTATCGAGGGGAAGGAAAATCAAAATGAAATCTCAAAACGAATATTGAAATTATTAAAATTCACTCGAACCAAAAATCAAATACAAAAAATTGTTGCTAGTTCTGAAATTAAAATATTAAATTTACATAAGAGATAACTAGGCAATCAATCACATGACTCTTAAAATGAAATAGAACTGATCTTGGATCTTGATGACTAACTGGCTTAGTGGCCAAATAGGCACGAAGAGCACTTTCCAGCAAACTTTAGTGACACCAATTAATTATAAACTCAATCCAGTCTAATTTGAAGAATCATAGTCATGTTTTATTATAGCTTGGTCTGGAAAATAGGTTTAACGCAACCCTAAAGTGCTAAAGTAATCCCCTCTTATATGATATAAGAGAAAGTCTAATGTTTTTTTTTCTTTTTGTTAACAAGAACGAAACAAGCAATCGTAACGTACATTATCAACTTTTCAAAAGCAGCCATGTTCACGATTAATCTAACGGTATTGATACTGTTGAAAGAAGTTCTATTTGTTTGTAACTCTCGCGGATACTGGATAAAGCAAGTCTTGGTTTTCGTTTCTCTTGTTTCCTCCCTCCATCCATCCATCGAGCCAAATAATTCGCTATCGGACTCAAAAGATGCTTCCAATGTATCATTTTTGGGTCCGGTGGAATACTTAGGTGAACGAAGAAGCCCTGTCAAATAGATATTTTTCCTTTCGACCATCTTTCGATTTTTATTAAGTGAGCAGGTTTAAACACTCGAAGGAAGGATGGACAACGCTTGTTATATGTAAAAACTTCGTTTATGCTGCGACCGTGTGATGCTCTTAAGTTCTTATTGGAAGAAAAAGAGAGAAGTCATATGCGTTTGTCATCATCACTAACCAACCTGCCGGAAATCAGCACCCAAGCGCTCTCTCTCCTCGCCCTGCACCGTCCCACCCCACAACATGCTCGTGATCACGTTGAGCACCGTCAAGAACACCTGCTCCCCGACGTTCACCGGCGACCCGGCTCGGATCCGCAAGTACCCGATGGTCTTTCGGACCTCCCTCCGCCGGAGATCGTAGACGGAGTCCAGCTTGTGGTTGCTCAGCAACCTGAGCACGCACACCTTCCGGAGCATCCTCCACTCGGGCCCGTACGGGTTCCACACAACGTCGGAGCCGCCATACGTTGCTGCCCTCGCGGCAATGGGCACGTCGCGGTTGGCAAATGTGATGTCATTATCCTTCAGCACCTCACGGGCCGTGGCAGGCGACGTCACGACGACGCCGAGCTTCTTGCCGAGCTGGAGCTTCAGGACCGGGCCGTACTTCCTTGCGAGGGCAGTGAAGTAGGTGTGGAGCTCCGGGTCGAGGAAGGGCAGGTTCCCGACGAAGGGGAGGCCCGCAGGTCCCGGCGGCAGGGACGGCGAGTTCTTCTTCTCGGCGGAACGACGCCATGCCCAACAGCTGATTGCGAAAATGCCTGAGAGAAGGAGAAGCAAGCGCGGGAGCGAGAAATCGTGCCACGAAAGAGAAGATTGGAGATTGTGGAGGAGGGGATGGGATATGGTGGGGGACATGGTGAGTTCCGAGTGCGTTCGGTTGCATGGCTCATGTCCATTTAAGTAGAGATGGAGAGATGCCTTCGCACGAAGCTACACGGCATGGTCCCCCCAATTTTTTTGTCCTACTCTTGCTAGGAGAGGATAGTACCGCCCTCAGACGTGCGCGCTCGATTAATTAAACATTTTCAAACGTGGGTCGACTGTGCAAACGCTGAGATGCTCAATACGATTCCTCATACCTATATACTGTCATAATTCCTCGTACCAATATAATTACAAGAGATAATGACACAAATGATATCTAAACTTTGGCCAAATATATAATGTGATCCTTCAACGTTGAATTTGTTCAATGTGGTTCATAAACTTTTCCCCAATATATAATATCATCTCTTGCGTAAGGTGCGAGGGGTTCTGTTTAATCCTGATATGAAAAAAAAGAACATATGTCAATACCATCTTTTCAAGACAACCCATAGTTTGGCCTAATACAAGAATCAATATCGAGTATTCATTACGACAAAGCCGACACATCAAAGTTGTTACCTTATTATAAGATACCAGAAAAACGTAACGAATGAAGAAGAAGATACTCTTGAACTCGATTAATTTTTTTTGCGGCCAGTTAAACTTGAGGAATCGGCATCATTTCGGTCAGACTTGCATTGAGACTTCTAAAGATGCTTTCCACTTGATTTGTCACTTTGCTGTTGCGGATACTAGGACAGATTCGAAACCCCAAGTTCCTGGTTTGATGCCCCACTGGTGAGGCCTTGCCAACCTATTTGCACTAAAAATTGATCAGGCCGTCAATAAGGACAAGCCCGTGACTAGAGTATGGAGTATTTAGCACATGACCCATTGTCGATGACCGCAAGAATTATTATCGATATTAACACACATCAATGACCATTGCTGATCGGTTGTCAATCGAAAACGGCGAATTGTTAACGATAGTCGACAAATGTATTGATTAATAAGGTCAACGGATTATCGATTAAGGCATTAGGAGAAAGTTGAATGCATAAAGGGCATCAAGATATAGTTATAGGTTTGAAGTCATTGGAGAATAAAGCAACGGAGGCCGTGGAGCAATTAACACGCAATTTTAAAGGAACAACCGTTTGAAGACTAGATCATGGCATCATAAGAGTATGGGGACAAAACTTTCAGAGATGAGGAAACATGACTACAACCATAGGAGAATTACTCAGAGACGGTTATGGTACAACTACTATAAATACCATCGTTCGTCTACTGGAAAGGCCCCCCATGGACAAACAAATAAGTTTACTATCTGTCAATGGGAAAATTATCGAAAAAGTCATAAAAATATTGTGTTGGTACCAATTTAGTTCTAAACCTTTTAGTTGTGTCATTCCGGTTAATTTTGACCGGATATTGTTAACGTGAACACTGGCTGTCGCTGAGTTGACAATTTTTAATAATATTTTAGTATTTTTTCAATTTTTATTTTATTTTTTCTAATTTTTCTCTTTTTTTCTTGGGTTAATATCACGAAAAATCTCAAACCGGTACATTTGTAACAAATTTACCCCAAACTAAAAATTTTAACCACAAAAAATCCCCCAAACTGGTACATCTATGATAAATTTACTTCAAACTAATTTTTTAATCACCAAAAACCCTAAACCGATATATTTGTGACAAATTTACCTTTCATTAGTTTCTGTTAAATTGGATGGATACCTTAAAAATCCCAAATCGGTACAAACGGAGGATGAAACCCAAATTTGGTACATCCGTCAACTGTCGTATGTCATTTTAACAAAGCAATTTACCATTAAAATTTAACGAAAACTAACGATGGGTAAATTTGTCACATGTATACCAGCTTGGAGTTTTTGATGGTGTCGCGACCTAAAAAAATTCCTCATTTTTCGGGCTAATGGATTATTAAGACTAATCTTAACTCGGGCCCTCCCAAGCCCTACCAATTCGCACTTAGAGTTTAAGTTTTTAACATGCAAAAGTTTTTATGCTCGGAGTCGCCACTAATCAATTTATGGTAGGTTGATTAGAAACCTAAATAAAACATAGGGAGATATGTTTTATTCCTACGAACCGAGAGATTCTAAGCCCTGGGACTTGATTACGCTAGATCGGTCTAACGCCCTTTCGGTACCTTTTCTTTTCAAAATGTTTTGGCAGGCGGTTTGGATCCATTTCAACTTAGTTACTAACATGTGAGGTGTTCATGCGAGTGCGCAAACCACCAATTTAACACCCGAAAGCATTAAATAAATTGCAAGTTTGGAAGAATTACTTACCTGGAAGCAACGTAAGCATCTGCATTGTTAGCTAGAAAATCACATTGACACCCTAATATGATTTCTAATTAACAAGCAATTCACTCAATTTCTTTTTTTGGATTTTCACTTATTTAAATGAAATCTAGCCTATATGCAATGACATGCGATTAATGCAACCTAGCATGCAAACCATATGTCGTGCGACGACGTGACCTATTTCTAATGACGGGACGAATGATTATTTTTGGTATTTTCTCAATTTAAATTCGGAATAATAAAAATGCCTAAATTAACATGCAAACTATGATGACTTAATCTACCCTAGCATGATTTCTTTTTAGGATTTTTGTTAAAATTCGAAATAATGAAATAACCTGAATAATCTATTAAGATTAGAATATTACTTAATTTAAACTAGGAAATAAATCATCTCAAGTCCTAATTTAAATTAAATAACTACTCTATCTTCTAGATATATTTAGGATTCCTAGACATGCAAAAACTCTAATTCAAATCTAATTAATATTTTTTGAATTTTCTGTTTATTTGAAAAAGGAAAGCAATTAAATAAACAAGGATAGCAACCACATTCAAAACGTCCACGCGATCCGCCATATTTGTTTCAAACTCGGATTAGGCACAAAAATCAAACTATCGGTCATATCTATAGGGTTATAGATATCGAAGGAAAGCCGATTATTCAAATTTGGAAAGCGGATAAAAATCATTATCGTACCCAAGTGGTTATGAATAGGATAATAATTTTCCGTATCGCTGCGTATCGAACCTAGGGATAAGGTCGGATAATGTCCCGTATACGTTGCTAAATTAGGAAGTTTTCCTAATTTTGAATATTTAAAAATATCATGATATATCGAACATTATCCTAAGATATCTAAATATCCACACGATATTCACGAAATATTCAAACACCCATATTAGGAAATTAAATATTCTGAAAATATCGGATAATGTTGAATTACCTAATTTGCAGATAATTCCCAAATTCAAATCGACTCGGGATTGAGTTTACGGATCGGGATGGTGACCGACGGTGGGTGATCGACGGCAGACGCGGCGGCGACGATGAGAGGCGGCGGCGATGGTGATGGCCTGCGGATGCGGCAGCTCGGCTAATCTGGACTCACGGACACCACAACGGCAGCGGCATCGGTTTGGCAGCGGGCGCAGTGGTGCGCGCGGTGGTGCTCCCAGTCAATCTGCAAAAGAAGAATAAGGCCACGGCAGTGTAAGGACGCCACGAGGCACTGGGACAGCAGTGGCTTGGCGTCGGGACTCGAGGTGACCAGCAACTTCGGAGGATGTCGGGATTGCGGAGGGGCAGCAGCTGGTTCGACGTGGGCTCAGGAAATAACCACGGAAAATCCAGCAACGAGTAAAGATCACCCGCTAATGCCCAAAATTGTCTTCCTCCTGTGTAACACGAATTGAAATTCCACTTTGTGAACTGATGTGCTATTTTTATTCCAACTCCAATTCACCAATTGCGGGGTTCAAGGACTTCTTTTCCAAGCGGTGGTCAACGGGGATTAGATTGGACCAAAGCTGAAGATAGCTTTCTGCACGTGGAATTCAGTGGTGGTGCAAGAAGAAAGAGGAAAAGAATAATAATGGGATGCAAATATTGGATATTGATGAAGAATCAGCCTCCCCTTTTTTGTCTTCTTCTCCTCAACAACTTATATTGGCCCCGTGAAGAAGTTAAGTAAAGTGTGGATGACCAGTGCACTCCGTCACGAAACTTCCTCGTGTACCGTGGGTGTTGCCGAGGAAGCAACACTAGCCTCCCTCTCTATTTTTTTTTGCGGTGATCGTCGCAGTGGTGGCTCGCGGGATTGGCGACGATGAGGAGCGGTGAAGATGGTGCCGTCGCGAGGCGGCGCGACGGTAACCCTAGGTTAATTAACCGGGCTTCCTCGTCTTAATAGGCTTGGGCTTAGATTTTAATTTAATTTAAATGGGATGAATTAATTAAGGATAATGGGCTGAATTAAGCTCAAATTAAAACAACCGAGCCCGTTTGACTTGTAATTCCCGGCCTTGCCTTCCGAGCGAGCCGAGTCTCGTTCGATGAAATTTTAAGCTCATTCGCCACGCTAATCTGATGCAAAAATGCAATTAAATTAAATGGACCTAAACTATATGTTTATGCAATTTAAATATTTTTGTTTAGGGGTTAAAAATTTAATCCCTAATTTTCTATGCAAATTACACTAAATGATACGCCAAAATTTAGGTGTCAACAGATGGTCAAAAAATTAGTTTTGGATAAATTTATCACAGGTATACTAATTTGGCGTTTTTTGTGGTATTAATTTTGTTTTCTTTCTTTTTCCTTCTGTCGGCAATCGGCCACAGGCGATGGCTGGCCACTGGCCATCATATGTCATTGCCCAGGTGAAGGCGACGCCCTACCTGGGCAAGGGGAGCCCTCACCAGGGCTTGCCCTCGCTTGGCCAGGCCTTGCTTGTGCCGAGTGACAGCAACCCTTGCCCAAGTTAGGCCAGCCCACTCGGTCATTGCTTATGGCTAGTGACCGATCATTGGCAGAAGGAAGAAGAAAGGAAAAACGAAAAAAAAATCAAAAAAATAATAAAAAATCAAAAATTATTAAAAATCATCCACGTTAGCACCGATGATGCCACATAAGTCGAGCAACATCCATGTCAAATATCCAACCAAAATTATCTAATAAAAATGAATTGGCACGATGCCAAAATGTTTAGGATTAAATTGGCACAAATACAATAGGTTTAG